GCTACGGGATAGTGAAATATTAAAGAAAAGTTTCCCGACAAAAATAACCCGCGAGGACGGTTTGTCAAACCCTGCAAAACCTCAGAACTGCCAAAACGAAGACTTCCAGCGAGATATACAGGCATGTAAGTTTTCCTTGTTAATACTCGCTTCGAACTGAAAGCTTTGCTTACCTTTTGCATATTCAACACAAATTTCAGTTATTTATTCTATGAATTTTTCAAACCCTTTTATTGTAAGCGAATAAATTGAAGCTCGAAATGGTGGTACAAATTGGTAAATTCTCAGTCGCCACCGTCGACCCAAGCCCATTTTCAACATCGTGCGCTTTTCCAAGCAGTGTAGAAGTACATCTTGTCTTTCCTAAGTCTGTTGTGAGTTCACCGGGTAAATTTTTTTTACTCCGTCAGTCGCATTCTCCTGCGAAAAAAGGCTGTTCCAAAAACGCGGAGTGCGGAGTCTAAGAAACAAAATTAAAATAAAAAATTAAAAGAATAATTAAATACATAAATAAACTAGAAATAGAAATTTACAAAATAAAAATAATACTCATTAAAAAATTCACCGCCTGAAGTGGACTGTTCATATGGTATATTTAACTGAAGATCTTCATAGTTAGCAGTTCACTTTTACGGAAAAAAAAAGTTAAGAACAGTCCAGTTTTGACCATGTCTATCTAGAAAATGTAAGAAATTACACCTACGGTTATGCTGAAAGCCGTACTGCCTCAAAACAATCTCAAGCTTTGCTTTCCAAAACTAAACTGCCCGTGTGAATTAACTCTTAAACCATTCTCACAACTTGTCAACTGCTCGTCCTAAAGTTCTCGTAAAGTTCAAACTAAAACCTTGAAAGATACTCAGCGCTGAAAAATCGTAAGATAAAAAATGTAGATTGACAAATACAGAAACAAGTCAATACACAGGTGAAGTTACAATTTGAGAAGGCTGTTCCGAAAACGCGGAGTGCGGAGTCTGAAAAAATTAAAAAACTAAAAAATTAATAAAAGAATAATTAAATACATAAATAAATTAGAAATAGAAGTTTAAGAAATAAAGATAATAATTATTAAAA